CTCTGAATTCCCAAGAAATTAAGCAATCCAAGTGGTTTTTGGGAGCGATGGAGCTCGTAATGTGTGGAATGATGTGTTTTTCCTGCTTCAGTCACAGGGAATCTCTGAATTCCCAAGAAATGAAGGAATCTGGGTGGTTTTTGGGAGCGATGGAGCTCAAGCCATGAGGATCCACCAGGAGCTGATTAAATTCATCACAGACCCTCCAGGAACGAGCAGAGGGCAGAAAACTCAACTGGGAGAGCGATGGGAGGGGGCCCTAAAGCAGCAGGAACAGTCCCTGGTTTCCTCTCTACGCATTTTGGGGGAAAAAAGGGACATTTTGGAGCCACGTTTCACCTTCCTACTCCACCACCAACAACTAAGGGACGGGAAAAAGACAACGTGAAACCAAACCCAGCGGAGAGGAGGGAACTGGGAGGATCCAGGTCAGCTCCTGCAGCACTTCCGGGGGGAAAAAGGGTCATTTTGGGTCGTTATTTACCACAGGGGTGGTTTTGGGTGTGAGTTCAAGGCTAAAGTGGTCCTGAGAGGGGACAAACGAGTGGAGGGGGATGTCGAGCGTCCTCACCTGCAGCTTCCGCGCCATGGCCACGACCTCGTGGTCGGCGGGGTTGTACTTGTAGCAGTTGGAGAACATCAACCGCACGTCGGCCGCGAATTCCTGAGCATCCCGGTATTCCCGGTTCTCCAGCTTGGACTAGGAGGGAGAAGAGAGGAGAGAAAAAGCAAGACAAGCCTCTGCCAGAACACGGCTGACGGGACGGATTTCACGGGGCGCTTTCGACCGGTTTTGGTCACGAGGGCAAACTAAGGTTGGGCCAAAGAACCGCCAAGTTTCATCAGTTTTTCACCCCTAATTTTGATGCAGAAGAATTAAATTGTTTTGGTCCAAGAGAATGTAGTTTTGGTCAAAAGAATGTTGCGTTTTGGTCAAAAGAACGACATGTTTTAGTCAAAAGAACGACGGGTTTTGGTCAAAAAGAGCGACTTGGTCAAAAGAGAGGCTTGTTTTGGTCAAAAAGAGTGACTTGTTTTGGTCAAAATAGAGGTTTGTTTTGGTTCAAAAAGACAGACTAGTTTAGGTCAAACAGAACTGCTGATTTTGGTCAAAAGAACCACCAATTTTGGTCAAAAAAAAGGCTGCTTTTGGCCAAAAGAAGGATATGTTTTGGTCAAAAGAGTAACTGGTTTTGGTTCTTCTCCCTGAGCTTAAGACCAACTTTTGAGAGAGACCAACCTTTCTTTTAAAAAGGATTAGAAATGGGTTTGGTTTCAATCAAACCCCCATTCCCAGGATTTCTGCTCTGGGGTCTCTCCTGGGCTAAAAAACGGGGAGATTTATACAATAACAGATTTTCCTCAAAAAACCAAATGTCAGCGTTCCTAAGAGAGGAAAAAAAAAATCAGTCTGGGAATGAAAACTCCAGAGGGTTGAGGTTCCTCTGTCTCTCTCCTCCCTGGATCCACCTGGATCCAGGATCCCACGCTCAGCTCCCAAATTTCCTCCCTGTCACCCTCCCAGTTGGGAACGTGGAATTAAACAGAAGGACAAAACTTTGGGAGAGGGATAATTTAAGAGATAATTTAAGGGATAATTTAAGCCCCCAGAGGCCCCCAAATTTCTGGATTCTGGGTTTTCGGTCGGTTCACGGAACCGGGGCGTTTGTCCTTCCCCGGTGTCAGGGAATCAAGAGGAGGAAGAGAGACCAAAGGCACCCAAACTCCACGGCCGAGCCAGAGCCAAATGAGGCCAAACCCGCCGTGTTCAACCCCCCCCTCCTCCCACCCCAAGGCCGAGCTTACTTTGATTGTGCTCAGATCCATGGGGTGCTTGATGATGTCGCAGTAGTCGTGCAGCCCCAGAGCTTCCACGTCCACAGGTTTGTAGAAGGGCCACGCGTAGGCCGCGTGCTTCTTGGCGAACATCTCCTTGATGATCCCGCCGCAGTACTTGAGCTGCTCCGAGACTTTGCTGCTCTTCTCGGCCGCGTGCTGCTGCGAGTCGGGAACGTCCTTCTTTGGAGGCTTCACGGGGCGGCCGCTCTCCCGCCGCGGGCCCAGCTTGGTGGACTTGGGCTCGGCGGGCAGCGACGACGAGTCGTGGATCGGGTCGATGGTGGTGGGGGTCGTGGTGTCTGCTTTCCTCTTCACCCCTTTTTTTGTCTGGGAACGAGGGAAGAAGCCGACGTCACCGCCGGAATGTTCCCTCTGGCTCCCGTCCCGTTGACTTGGAGCCACTGCCAACTCAACTCAACTCAACTCAACTCTACGAGAAAGGTGTTGGAGACCTTTCCAAAGTGTTGGTTTGGACTGGGGGCTGTGGGAAAACAGGGATTGGATTATCCCAGTTGGAGCAGCAAGGGTCGAGGGCCTGAGCTGAGATTTTTCCTCCTGAGTCTTAAACGGCTCCAGGAAGATTTGACTGGGAAAGGTTTTTCCATGGAAACCTGGGTGGGACCCCCTGGGTTGTGGAAGGTGTCCCTGCCCAGGGCAGGACGAGCTTTAAGGTCCCTCCCAACCCAAATCATTCCACGATTCCACGAACTCCTCAAGTCCAACTTTAAGCAGCACCCAAGAGGTCGCCGCTGGCTCCTCCTATTTCTCAAAACACAAATTTTTTGGACCAAAACGTGGCCGTTTGCCTTGAAACGCGAGACTCCGCTGGTGACACAAACGGCGACCTCGTGACTGACCGCGGTGTTCCCGCACCGCCAAGACAAATTCAGCCACGACATGTTAATTAGGGTTAACGAGGCAGCCACTCACCTTCACGGGTTGGGTGGGCGTGGGGATGACGGGTGGGTGGGGCTGGGGGGGCTGTACCACGTTAATTAGGGCTAATGAAGCAGCCACTCGCCTTCATGGGCTGGGCAGGCAGGGCTGGAGAGGCTGAGGGGCCATACCACGTTAATTAGGGCTAACGAGGCAGTCACTCGCCTTGACGGGCTGGGTGGGCGGGGCTGGAGGGGCTGGGGGGCCGTGACATGTTAATTAGGGCTAACGAGGCAGCCACTCAC